AAAAAAAAAAAAAAAGAATTTGGGACGGTACTTATTTCAAATTCCCTTTGCCAACATGTTGTCTTTGCATATTGCTGACCTGCAATCTTACGAAATGCAAATCTATTAGTTGAAACACATAAAACTTTATCATTTCAAAAAATATTTGGCTTTCAGGCTTATTCAGCTTTATTGGCAGATTTAATAACAGCATATTACTATCATGACCTCTAATATTGTTGTTTATTATTCATCACAATAAATGCCCAATTCAAGTTCTTTGGAGAAGCCAATCCTTTTTGAGACACGTTTTCAGTTGCCCTAGGATCAATCGATGCTGGCTACCCCATACCTGCAGAGTAAACTGCTCCATGTGATGTTCAAAGGTGTGATCTCTGGGAATTAGGACACTAGGCCTATCTTCTGAGAAGACTGCCCATGGTGTTGTTAGTAGTCTAGTGCTAGACCCTTGGTGGCATAGTCGTTACACATTGGGCTGCTAACTGCAAGGTCAACAGTACAGAACCACCAGCCGCTCTGAGGAAGACAAACGGGGCTTTCTACTCCCATAGAGTTACAGTCTCCGGAGCTCACAGGGGCAGCCCTCCCCTCTACTGTAAGGTCACTCTGAGTCGGCACTGACTCCATAGCAGTGAGTGGTCAGCCTGGTTCTAGTTGATGAATATTGACTTTATCCTAAACAAGTATTCCACATTAGCAATTTTATGAATGTTCATATCCCTACCAATTTTTAATTCTTGGATATAAGACTATTAGTAGTAGATTTTAGTTCTAAAAATGAATTGCATTTATCTAATTCCATAACTTTTTCTTTGATCCCCTCAAGATTTCTGTTTCTCATATTCTAATGAAAATCAACTTGAGGTCACAATAAACCCTTCTTTCAGCCCCAGGCTTTTGCATTTGCTGTGACGAATCCTTGGGTGGGTGACTTCCATTTCCCTGCTCTTACAAGGTGACCCAGACGTGGTCACTTCTCTCTTTCATTGTCTCCTCCCTCCTTGTCAATAACAGCCTACAGATTCATGAACCACTAGAGCAGTGGTTCTCGACCTTACTAATGCTGTGATCCTTTAATACAGTTCCTCATGCTGTGGTGAACCCCCAACCATCAAATTGTTTTCATTGCTACTTCATAACTATAATGTTGCTACTGTTAGGAATCATCATGCAAATATCTGATAGGCAGGATGTATTTTCATTGTTATAAATGGAA